AAAAATTCGCTGCCCCCAGATCCCTGAAGGCCGAATCGCGCGCCCACCGCCGCCTCGCGACGGAGTCGCTAACCCGGACGATCAAGATAACGCCCGACATCTTGGCGGGGCTGCTGACGCTGCTCCTGTTCCTGTTCATTTTGGTGACCGGTCTTGGCTGCGTGGGGGACATCGAGTGCCCCAAGTCCTTTTCGTCGGAGGACCCGGCCAAGGGGAGAGAGTATTAGCTTTGCTTCTTACTGACGGGGGTTCTTTTTTTCTAGGCGGCGGGTTAGGACATACGACACACAGCAGGCCAGGTTTCTGATTGGTCGAAATAAGAAAAGGGGCGCATTTTTTTCCCTTTCTGTCTCTCATGCTGGCGCTGCCTTGTGCAGCCGAAGTGAGCGCGAAGCAGTTTTTGTTCGTGTCTCGGCCACGGGGTATTGAAGGGCGTAGATGGCAAGGCCGTGCTCTTTGTACAGCGTGGTTGATGGTTCTGCTGGTAAGTATTTTTTCTGCTAGTGTTTGGGTGAATGGGGACGGCGGGCGGAGGGGTGATCCTCACAACGACCTCCCGCGTATCGTGTCGTATCGTGTTGGCGTTGGAGTCCATCGCGAAAAGTTATGGGCACGTGCATGTCCACCGGTTTCATTCATTCCGCTACCGTATAGGAATACCCATTACCATGATACGGAGCGGAGGTTGGGCCCCGATCGAATGTTTAGCTACGTATGCAAAGCCGTGGTATGTGCTTGACACTATGTCATGTATTTTGATAGGTTCTTCCTGCGAGGAGTGCACATGGTTCGTGCGCGCCCCTGTTGTGCGTTGTGTGTCTTGGGGTGCCCTAGGTAGATCTTGCTTGCCCCATAGTTTTCCGGTAAGACGAGCATCAGCGCTCCCACAGGCGAGGGTGATCGAAGGGCTCGAGTAGCTTCCTCGCGGAATTTTCCAGATTCCGTTTTTGCCGCCCAGCCAGAGGGTGGCAGTTGGGGATGCGTCATGGAAAGGAATCGCTTTCTGTTCTGTTTGCCCACCCTATCACGTGTTTGCAAGAGGTTGAGCGAGACGGCGGTGATGTGGCCACGGCTCTGACGAGAAATACGAGTCGGATGTCATGAATACTCCTTCAATGATGATGGTGTGGACCCGCGTGCCGCGTGGATGGATGCATGCGTGGCCGCGCTCTCCCCCTGCGTGCTAGATGCAAAAAGGTTGCCTGAGGTTGGACGCTAGATCCATGTCGATCAAAGAATCAACAAGGAGCCCGCGCCTGCCGGCAAGCACCAGCAAGGACTTGTCAAAACATCCCAAATACTGCATCTATCTGCATTTTCTCGAGAGCTTGGGTTGTCGGCAAAGGAAGTTCTGTCGAGTGAGCCATGACGTGATCACGGATGATGACGAAACACGTTTTGTGAAATATCGCGCCCGATTATGTCGTGCAACACAACCAACCTCACTTTTTTGGGATGTATTCTAGAGGGAAGCGCTGTCTGGCGTGAACAACATCCTCGGCAGGACAGACACACAAGACAAACGACTTTCTCGAACCAATCGTCCCTTTGTGTGTTCGGAGATACATACCCTCGCCCGGCCCATACCCTTGTGTGTATTTTTTTCGGTCTTATCGGCCACGCGGGACCGGGGGGGTTTCAAAACGGTCCTTTGTGGGACACCTTTAACACGGAAGCTTGTGCGCGCGCCAGCTAGTGTGGCCGTGTGTCTTGCACAGAATGTGGCGCTTCGGTTCCAACATACTGGCTGTTTCGGCGATTTCTGTGCGAACGAACTTGCCCTACGGCTCAGGCTGTCGCACATGTATCGTGATGGTGAGATCGAGTTTTTTTACGCCTTGCTCCGAGGAAATCCCCATCGCTTTGACGCGCTGATCCCTTGTTACGTCTCGGATCAATCTCGTCGGACTTTTTGGCGCTTATGCGTGCTTCTGCACAACTGCCCGCCTCCATTCCCTCGCCCCTCAGGCTCGGGGGATAATACGCCTTATCTTTCTCCCTTTGTTTTTACTCACGAGCAGCTGTGTTTTGATTCCATCAGAATCGCTTCCTCTCTCCGAGGGAATACCAATTACTTCATCCAGGCACTTAGTCTACATCGCCTCGTTTCTTTCCCTGGACTTGGACTTAGATTGTGTGGTTACGTCTTCCGCCCCTCCATGCCCCCCCCCACACACACATACATTTCGCACTCGCCCTTGAGCAGACTAACCCAACTCCATTGTGTTGTACTTCCATTTTCTTACATGCTGGTGCCCACGTAGGAGTGTCTCGTTGCCAAATTTTCCCTTCGTGACAACCTGCCGTTGCCCACGGCTCTCCCAAAAAGGTCGATCCCAACCTGGTCTAAGGACTTTTCTGCTTCTCTGCTGAACTTATATCTTTCGTTGGGGTCACACAGAGAAATGGCTTCCGCGTAAACGTACTCCTTTGGGCATGAAGGACGATCAAGTAGAACGATAAGCAAGTTGCACTCGATAGCAGCTTACATACACAACAAGCAACCCACCTATCCCGGGGCGTTCTAGCTCAAGTGCATGGTCTATGTGTGGCACCTCGAGGACATTGGACGAAATACTGCTGCAGGCTGAGCTTCCGCAATCGAGTGTTGTCTTTTGTGCTCCGTCTGGCTCTCATGATTTGTCTCATGATGCTACAGTACTACTGTGCTTGCGAAATTGGTGGCGAGAAATTCAGTGCGGGGCGCGGTGGTGATACTTATGTAGTAGGACATTTAGTCGTGAAAAATGACGCCCGTCGCCTCTCCCACGTGTCACGTGAATCGCTCTTTCTGAATCAGGACCCTTGAATCGACGCTCGTCGCGCGACCTCCACCGACCCACGCCGGCCCTAAGGCAGTAACAAACATCGTAGTGGTAAACAGGGCGAGTGTCGTTGTGCATTTTCTGAGTAAGAAGCCGCGGGTTTATCGTCATTTCATGTAGTCTAGCAACAGAGAAGGACCGCTTGCATTTGTTTGCTATTCTTTGGGTCCGGTGAGAGCACGCAAGATTGGAACATATCCACGGCGGCGATCAATATCACGCGATGTAAAGCTCTTCTGATCGGTGGAGAATTTTCTCGTCGCTCTGTGGCTAGAAGAACGAGCTTGAGAAACCCACGTCAACACACCCTTGCAGGATGTCGTTCTCTTGGATCATGGTGACCGTCTGTCTTACTGCCTTCGTTCCCCCGCTCTCGGGTACCGACAACGCCTTCCGTGGCAAGGACGAAACAAACAAAACACAGGTGTGGTAGACCCGCGGTTCTGCATGAAAATGCTTATGGTTCATTCAATCCGACTTGTATCAACTATCCAATCACGAATCATTCGATAGTCTTGGGGGTGCTTTGGGCGCATCCATCAAAAGATAGGCAGCAGCGTGTTACCTGCTCCACAGTACCCGTTGCCCCGTCTAGACTGGCCGCAGCCGCCTGGGCGGCCGTATTAACATCTCCCAGGCTCTTCCTCAAGCTCGCCATCACCTCGGCGACCTCTTGGCTGCATCAAAGGGAGTACCACCACCACCGAAGGACAAACGAAACGTGAATGAAAGGCGCACGGCATCGTAAACAGCGACCCATGTGTCAACCCGAGTCTGATGCGGTGTGCTTGAAACTCGATAGTTTCATGGCTGCCAAAAGTAAAACGGGTCGTAGGGTAAAATACACGAGCAAGGTATCACGAGAACACAGCCTGCAGCAACCGGAAAAAAGGTAGATAATCATTGCCTGATTCCTATTATAGTGCCGAGAAATGTTGTTTCGTGCGCCTTCCTTATGGACACACAGTGTTTCTCTTGGACGAAAGGGCGTTGGACGAGCAGAACTTGCTCCTCAAATGGGGCGAGTAGAGGTAACAACAGGCTCGTGGCCATTTCATTGTTTCAACGGGACGCTGTGTTTGTCTGTGATGGACGTACGCGATTGGTAGGGGAGTGCTCTGCCGAACACCCGAGAGCTTGCATCTGCAGGTACATTATTAGCAGCACCGGCTCGTTCCAGCTTTGCATTGAGATGTGTAGCCGAGGTTCCGTACATGTGTGCTATGCTATGCAGTTTTTTATGCACCCTAACACGTCGCTAGACGGAACATGTACTGTGTCTCCAATGTACCTACTCGAAACGACCCCTCTGAAATCTTGGTTTTACATGAACAAATGTGTTTTGGTATAATCTAGCGATTCTTGTCATCCATATGAATTAAGAAGGTGGGGAGCGTTCCCCGCCGTTCTGACACCCCCGTTAGCACGCCCCCCCCCCCCCCCCCCCCCCCCCCCCCCCCCCCCCCCCCCC